TTTCACGTGGCCGCCCGAGCTTCATTCACTTCACATTTCACTTCTGCAGTAAAATGCTGTACATTTAAAAAAAAAATATATATATATATATATATACTTATATATATATAAGTTTTTTTAAATATTGCAAACAAGCAACCCAGGCCAGACTAAAAATGTCATGCAAAAGTAACACATCTAGTTACTTTTTTAACTCATTTGTGCCCAAATTTGTAAAAAAAAAAAATTGTATGCATATATCCTTGTTAATCGTGTCCTATATGAACATGTTTTGCATTTATTTTTTCCAGGTTTTTTTATTTTTTGATGGGTAAAAATGTTGTAAGCACCGTTCAATGTAAAAAATGAATAGGAGGAGAACATTCGGCAGTCTTTCTCAAAACAACTGCTTTCAACAGATTCATTAATAAACACATTTATTGTGTTTAAAAACCAATTGATATGAACTCCCCGAAAATGATCTATCATATAGTTTCATGAATATGAAAACACAAAGAACTAATGCATTTGTTTTACTGTGATGAAACACACACTAGTTTCCCCAACAGACTACTGTGTGTCAAAAAGAGACATGAAAAAAGATAATAATTATAATTATTGCAATATTTTGGGTTTCAGTGACTTGATATTTTGTTTGTGTGTGGATGAACAGAAAACCATGTAGAAAAAGCAGAGATTTAGGCGATACCCATGTCTGTGTGGACAACAGGGCTTAAGGTCGGGACTGAATTTGGTTGTAGTTTTATATTTCTCCTCAGTGATTCTGCTTTTTAACAGCAGGAGTTCATTTTTCTCTGTGTTATTTTAAATCTTTATGGGAAAGGGACCAGTAGGAGTTCATTTTACTCTGATGGTTTTGCTGTGTATTAAATTGTGCATACAAAAGTCTACTTTAAAGTAAAGATGTTAGTTAAAGTTTTTTTTTAAATGGGGTTTTATGGAGGAAAAAAATTAATAAACTAAAAAAAAACATTAAACAAGGCCAATAACCTTGATTTATTAACTTGTTAACACATTATTCCTTAAGTGAAGTTTATTTATAAACTAATTTGGAGAGGATCATGTGCTTATGATTGCTTGCAGCCGGCCGCTTATTATTCAATTTGGAATTCACCAATCAGACGATTCCTAACCCATCGTAAATACCCAAAGTTTAATATAACCCCTACTTCTCCTCCTAGATGGGTGGCACGGTGGCCCAGTGGTTGCCTCACAGCAAGAACGTCTCTGGTTCTAGTCCTTACCAAGCCAGCTGACGTTTCTGTGCAGAGTTTACATGTTCTCCCCGTGCTCACGTGGGTTTCCTTCGAGTTCCCCGGTTTCCTCCCACCATCCAAAAACATGCAACTTAAGTTAATTAACTAATCCAAATCAGCACCAAAGACATGCTACTAGTATGTAGTTATCTCTTAAGAGCAATCACTATCTGTTCATTAGCTTCTACAGCAGGCAAGTTCTCAAGATCTACCTGAGCTCAAACTCCCGTCTCGCCTTGCAAACAGGAGGGAGCCCCGGGCTCGAGGATCTTATGAGCTCAGGGCTCTCTCCCAGGAAAGCATGCCAAACAAGCTTCATAATCAATCATCAGCTAAGTGTGAACTCTTGAATTCGCCATTATTTATGTACTTACAAGGTATTCGCCCACCAGCAACTATATTTGCAGCTTGAACATTTGACCAACTTTACACAAAACTACAGATCTCTTGAACAATTTGTTTTGTTCGGATAAATCTAGAGACCTTCATGATTAGGTTGATATATAATTGTAACTAAATATTATTTTTATTAATAAGAAAATTGCAGGTGAGGCAGTGGCGCAGTAGGTAGTGCTGTCGCCTCACAGCAAGAAGGTCGCTGGGTCGCTGGTTTGAACCTCGGCTCAGTTGCTGTTTCTTTGTGGAGTTTGCATGTTCTCCCTGCCTTTGCGTGGGTTTCCTCCGGGTGCTCCGGTTTCCCCCACAGTCCAAAGACATGCGGTACAGGTGAATTGAATAAACTAAATTGGCCGTAGTGTATGAGTGTGTGTGTGTGGATGTTTCCCAGAGATGGGTTGCGGCTGGAAGGGCATCCCCTGAGTAAAAACTTGCTGGATAAGTTGGCGGTTCATTCCGCTGTGGCGACCCCAGATTAATAAAGGGACTAAGCCGACAAGAAAATGAATGAATAAGAAAATTGCCTTTATTTGGGAGGGTTTGCCTCCATTCTGTATCCTAGAATTAGAGGTAGTTGAAGTACTCATGTGACAGGAATTAAATTAATTTTTCTTTTTTTCCCCCAAAATCTTTTATTTGGTTGTTTGCTTGCATGTCATTGAGAAGTTAAACATGGTAAACATGTAGAAAATTACTTAGAAAAGGAAAATGGCAACTAAAAACTTCGGATTAAATGGGTTAATAAAAAAGTAGTCCACGGTTATAATATATTACTTTTAATTTGAACTTTTTCCTTCTGTGATGTGATATCATGAGAAATGGCATAATACTCTAAATATGTTGGGTTGTTTTAACCCAACTTTGGGTCGAAAATGATCAAAATAAATCATTGGATTTAAAAAAAAAAAGTGTCATTTATGTGTTTATGTGTTAGGATTTTCCATATTTGACCAACACTGAGTTAAAACAACCCTGCATTTATTTAGACTGTAACATTTATTTCTGATTAGCAATAGGATAATTCAATAGGAACGTAACATCCAACTCTCACCCTAGTTCAGGGATTTCCAAACTTTTCAGCTCGCGACCCCCAAAATAACAATGCCAGTAACTTGCGACCCCCAATATCCTCTGAGGTGGTTATAAATACAGAAACCTTGCATGCAATGGGGCGCACACACACCAATAAACCCAAGTCTATTCTTTGTTATATTTTTTTAATGTATGTCAGTGCTGTAAATGTGCCAGAAAGTTTAACCTGGTATTATAAAATCAATCTGCTGCATCTGACGCTATTGCTGAGTCTTTAATATAATGTAATTACCTGAGGGGTCGCAATCCAATAGAACTAGTAACTATAAGCGACTATAGTAACTATATACAGTAGTATATAGTAACTGTAAACAACAATTTTTTTAGTAGGTTATGGATTAAAATGGTAATTATTATGGTTTAATAAAAATAAATAGATTTTTGGAAGTCACCAGGGGACCCTCCCTTCATTGTCCCGCGACCCCTCGGGGGGTCCCGACCCCTACTTTGAGAACCACTGCCCTAGTTGATGCGTGAGCTTCCCATTTCTTACCGTCGCACCCCCTCTCCTGGACGGATGTGGAAAGAAAGACCAGCGTAAACATCATCTGGCTCATACAACAGCCCCATCCGCATGACTTATTTATTAAATCAAATAATGAAGAAGAATAGCATTTGGACTCACAAGCAACTATTAAACGGAAGCAGATTTTGGGACTCACACACATGCATATACTTTAAGTCACACACACACGCAGACAGACAGAGAGAGAGACATCATGAGTTAAGGCAACTGTTGGTGGTCCCAAAGCGCAGTGTGAATGTCACCCACAAGACTAATGGAAACATCTCCCACACACACATACACACACGGGTTTGTCTTTATGAGTTGTGGGGACATTCCATAGCTTTCCATATAATTTAAATTACTCTACACCTAACAGGGGGTTTAAAGATAAAAACAAATCATTCTATGTGATTTTTAAGCATTTTGAATAATGGGAACATGAGCAATGTCCTCATATTTCACCATCTCCATGTAATTCCCATGTCATTATATTGCACACACACACTCAACACAAAAAGCAGAACAAATCAAACCAAAAACACTGTTAGACACGTATAAGATCAACTGTTCAACTTTTACACGGGTCCCCCCTCATATAGCTGTAATTCATCCCATTAAGTGAGTTGTTTTGCTTTTGTTTTCGCAGCACAGTCTCCATGCACACTGCAAATTGGAGCATTCGCTGCATTCTGTATCTCACTGGCCTCTGCCAAGGACAGAAAACATTGTGTTTAACTTTGGTCTCAAAGAACTCCCTGATTCACTCCAGCTTGGGTCATATTTTTAATGATGAATACACCCCCCCTCCTCCTCCTCCTCCTCCTCCTCACAGAAGGCTGAAGTGCTCCGCCAGTCTGACGGCTGTGTGTTTTGAGGGCTAGTTTGTCGGGGATTGGCTTTCACACACACAGGCTGAAAGGGTTACTGTTCAATCTATTCTGCGCTCGCCAGAGTGCGCGGCCGAGTGGCGCCGGCGCGTCACACACACACACACATACACTCGCGCACTCGTACACACTCTCAGCCTCCTCCAAAAAGCTCTAGACATCATCAAGAAACAGAGCTGACAACTGCCCCCACCCAGCGCCAAAACACAGCACCAGCAGTGTGTCTGTCACAATAACCGCAGCAATAACGCGCGCGCACACATGCACTTTCACTCGCTTAAATGACAGGCGTGATTCACTGCGAGCGTGCACGTGAGTCTCTGGAAGACGGCGAGTGTGTGTGTGTGTGTGTGTGTGTGTGTGTGTGTGCTGCGTTTTTACGAGTCTCGCATCTCTTGAACTCGCAGACAGCGTGTTTGCTGACTAATTAACAGTCTGGTACCGTCAGCATCAGTTCACAGTCATTGTAGAGGGTTGCAGTGTTTCTCACGCCGAGACTTTTGGACAAGAATCGGGCTCAGATTTCTGTCTCTCAGACTTTTTTTTCTCCCACCCCCCTTCCCTTTTCCCTTTCCAGAAGCAGTACGCCAGGAGCTGCTGGCTCTCCCTGCTCTATTTCACCAATGACCGTGTTTGAAAATGGCTGCATCATATTTTAGAGCTGTGTTAACATCGGCGCGCTTTTACGCACGGCGAAGAACAGACGTTTCCAAGCGGCCCCTGTGGAGTATTTCCACACCTAAAGAGGGTTATTGGAGCACTGGATGTCATTCAGAAACACCACCTATTTAGCATACGCTTATGCAACATATGCATCAGTCAGTACTGCGGGGAAAAACAAGATCAGAACACAGGCATTTCTCAGATCCTTCACACTCAGTCCACGTTTAATAGATTTTATTGCTAAAACCATGGCATTTTACACTGACATGTTTATTATTATTATTATTAATAATATTAATATTCTCTTAAATTCATCTTTAGAACTTTTCAAGTAGAATTTCTGGTATATTCTATTCTCTTTATCTATACTCACAACCGTTAAAACAATAAATAAACCGTACACATGTGTGTCTTTTTACTAAAATACTATATGATTTCCAAAAGAAAAAAAATAAAAGCCGACTCCACTGTATAACTTTCAGCCCAGCCTCTTTTTTTCAACAATAATTGATATTAATATTTGTACAAAACGTCTAGGCATCCCCGCAGTGTTCTTCAGTCTCTATAAATAGAGTTCGACAGGAGGAAAGTGAAGTTCTCTCTTTCGTCTTCCCAATAACTTCATAAAAATAACCACGAGCTGAAGTGCTCCTCGTGAGAATATGGTCCTGATCCTTTAACAAAAATAGCTGCATTCTTCTTTCTTCGACTTAAATATGTACATATATGTCATATATCTTGAATTAAAAAGCTATATATATATATATATAAAAAAATAGAATCGCTATGTGGCGCCACACATCCCTCTGTCCGTGGGTAAACAGTGCAATCATTCATATTGGATAAACCCTCTCGCGCACGCGCAGCTCAGCACGAGCACTTGCACTGGGAGATGATGGGATACTGCACCTGTATCCACGTGCAGTATTTCTGCCGCATGAAGCCCTGGCAGTACCACCGCAGGAAGGTCTTGGTCACAGCCTTGACCGGTTTGCAGGACATGCCTTCGGGAAAGGAGCACGAGCGCTCGCTGAAGCAGTTCCCCTCCTTGATGTAGCGCGGCCAGAAGCGCAAGCCCAGGTCCTTCCAGGTGTAAAGCACCGGGCAGTGCGTGTACATCCACAGCCACTGCAGGAACTTCCGCCGCGCCTTCTTGCCCACCTTGACGCGCCTGCCGTACGGCGTCTCCGTGAGGTCCAGCTTCTTGAGCTCCGCGGGCATGGGGAGGCGCGGCAGCTCCGGCGGCGCGCTGGCGTTCAGCTGCGCGGGCAGGTGGATGGACATGAAGTTGGCGTCGAAGTTGCTGCCCAGCTTTTTGAGCAGGGTCTTCTCCGAGAGGTCCTGCTCGCGTGGGTCGTGCTCCGGGTCGGGGTTCTCGATGAGGTCTGGGACGGGTAGACCTTCGCTGGGCAAGGGCCTGAGGCGCAGGTGGTGCTGGGATGCGGTGCCGTGCGCGCACAGGAGCAGCAGGAGCAGCAGCGGCAGCGCGCGGGTGATGCTGCCCATGACTCGTCTTCTGTCTGTCTACGGAGTGGAGTTGGCCCTCACTGCGCCCACGTGCATAAATAGTCCGAGCGACAGCACGAGCGAGATCTTTTAATAGACGGCCGCGTGGCCGGGTATGACATGGGACATGAGCTGCTTTTCTTTTTCTTTTATTCAGGGATACTCGCTCAGGTGAGGCGTGCAAAGGGGTCAGAAGCGTATCCTCAGATTTAATAATCAGATTTTCTTTTAGCGCCGGGTTGCCATGGTAACCAGTCCGGATGGGATGGCACCGTTTCTACAGCCTGCTCGGGTTTATGTTGCCGGGTGCCACCCAAACTGGCGTTTGAAATGTCAGCGCGCCCGTGGAATGGAGCGCGTCTTAGCCAATGTTATTTTTACGCTCTCTCTCTTTCTCTTTCTCACTCTGCTGAGCAATGAGGCTCCAGCGCGTCCCGCCGAACCGGCGCTGCTGACCCGGGACGTGAGCCGCTCAGTCTCTCCACAGCGCGGGCAGATCCTGCTGAACTCCGCGCGCAATCGGAACTTCAGAAGCGCCTAGAACATGTTCGCTGTCAGTCCGGTTTAATATCAGGCTCCTGTCAGCTCCTCTACAAGTCAAGCGTCCCCAAGAATATCTGCTGCATGTTCTCCAGACGCGGCTGCGGTGCTTTCAAATCCCCGGCCGTGTCACAAATCCGTCCGAAAATCTCGCCTGGTCCTGATCTGGGACAGAAGGGAATGAGCGCGTCTGAAGGAGAACTCCTCTCTTTCCCAAGTTAAATATCCCCTCCCCTTCCCTCCCCCCGTCAGCTCCAAGAACGCGCGCGTGAGTGAGTGAGTGAGTGAGTGAGTGAGAGTGTGTGTGCGCGCGCGCGCGGGGCCAGCTCACCAAGAACCCTCAGTCTGACTGACAGCAGAACACACACACACACACACACACACACACACACACACACACACACACACACACACACACACACACACACACACACACACACACACACACACACACACACACACAATGAGACCCCCCTCCCGACCTACAGCACACATACACACACCTCACCACAACAGCTCTAGATTTATCACAGGCTGCTAAAGAACACCAGAAAACACACATTTGGGATTTTCCATATCTTGCACATTCCGTGACACTTAACCCACCTATTATGATCGTCTTGCATAAATAATGTTCAAGTGGAAACCTTATAATTCATTCATACCACACTGAAATTACACTCTGTGCTGGATGCTTCAGTCACCGGGGACTTTTGCACATATTGGCACGTGATGCACACGGAGAAATGCTAAAGAATAATTATTGAAATGCTTTTCTTTCCCCCAATAAAGGCAGCCTGACATGAGCAGTTGTGCCACACACACACACACACAGAGGCGACATCACTTTTCCCAAGGAAAAAAAAAACAAAGTGAAGTGCTTAGGAATCCAATAATTGGTCCATTAAAGCGCCTCTGGTTTGTGTGGAGGTTTGTGGATTCGGCTTCGACCTTTGCTCTTGCCACTGGCAGGAACCAACATGCATGAACTCTCGGGGTCACCAAATAAACGGCCGCAATTAAGTGTTTAAACGGGCCACATAGAGAGACGTGTCACCTCTCACGGTGCCAGAACTCCAGCTCCACAAGCAGCATGATGCTCCAATGAAAAGCACAAATTCAGCACCAACATCGCCATCAACCATGCAGAAGCAGAGCGGCTCACAGGTCAACATGAAGCATTATCTCTCCAACAAAACAACCTTAACTGTTCAAATGCAATTGTGCATTAAAAAATGTCAAATAAGTCATCAACATATCAATGGAGCTGACTAAGGTTGCTCAAAAGCAGCAGTTGTTTGCTAATATTAGTAAAGAGAATGAATGTTAGACAGACATATAGATGGATGGATACACTCGAAAAACAAACTATGAAAATTGCTGAGTTGATTTACTCCAACTTAGGTCCAATATGAACCCTACATTGGTAAAATTACCTTTAAACTGAATTGAAATGACACTTTTAAACAGTTGTACTGGTCCATATGTGAGCCAACACCGGGTTGAAGAGGATTGCTCAAAAGCAGCGGTGTCGTCTGCTAATATTATTAATGAGCGTGTTATTTTAAGCCGCTCTCTGTTCTGTTGTGTTGTGTTGTGTGGTGGATTGCAGAGGCTGGAGGGATATCCCTCTGTGAGCTGTGGGCTTCATGACATGAGGAGTGTGAGGCATGTAAAGCAGGGCCCCAGCAGTCTGTGGATCGGTGGCAGACTGTCTGGCTGCGGTTCTGTGGTTCTGCGGTTCAGCTGCCGGTGCAGGGCTGCATTTTGGCCGCTAGAGAGCACGAGCGCGAGCACGGCTGGAGCCCTCACAAACAGATCATCAGCTTCAGCACGCTCACACAGAGAGATGTCCTGACGTTTTGGGTCTCGGCTTTTCAGATTTGAACTTGAACGGCTTCTGATCTTTGGCAATGTTTCATTTGAACTGATGATCTGATAATTATTATAAAGTGCTGCAAAAGACTTGTAGTTTGATTCTTGAAAACTCATTCCTTTGGTTTGGTGAAAGCCAAGAACTGTATCCATCCACTGCCAGTATCTCAAGTATCTCGCGCTAGCATATTTCAAGACTCACAGTGATATTCAATTCTAAAATACAGTACAAACCTCTCAGATACAAGATACAGGCATTGAAAAGAACCAGAGAATGTTCTAGCATTTTGATCCATGAACTGATCCATGAACTGATCCTTGTGTGTCAAATAAGAGAGACATACACAAAGGGTGGGGGGCCAGAGGACCGGGAATTGAGAACCACTGTTGGGTCAAACATGGACAAACCTAACATTGGGTAATTTTTTTAAAATTAAATTTAAATGGTATTTTTTTACACTTTTAATCCAGTGTTTGAGTATTGACCCAACATTGGGTTACAACAACCCAGGATTCTTTAAAGTGTTAAGCTGTGAAAATGATAGACAGATAGATAGAAATAAAGATACAGAGACAGAAAAAAAGATGGATAAACTCTTAAATAATTCGGTCAAATATTGACAACCCAAAGTTGGGTTAATTTTTTCAATTAAACGTAAACTTACGTGGGTAGCAGGATCACCTCACAGCAAGAAGGTTGCTGGCTTGAGCCCCGGCTGGGCCAGTTGGTATTTCTGTGTGGAGTTTGCATGTTCTCCTCTTGTTGATGTGGGTTGTCCCCACAATCCAAACACATGCGCTATAGGAGAACTGAATAAGCTAAATTTTCCCTAGTGTAGGTTGGCGGTTCATTCCGCTGTGGCAACCCCAGATTAATAAAGGGACTAAGCTAAAAAGAAAATTAATTAATTAATTCTGCTTTTTAATTATAATCAATGATTGTTTGTCCTCATCTGACCCAATGTTGGGGTGAATACAACCCAGATTATTTGAGAGTGTAAAGTTGTGAGATTGACTGACAGAGAGACTAATTGATAGAAATAAATATATAGTTGGACTGACAGATATATGAGTGGATACACTATAAAAAAATGTCTGTTGTAACCCAACATTGGGTAAAATATAAACAAACCCCACATGAGTTTATTTTTTTCAGTTAAATTTAAATCATACTTTTTTTACCCCTTTAAACCCAACAGTTGAGTTGATGATCCTTATTTGACCCAACATTGGTTTACAACAGCCCAGCATTTATTAATATAGTAATATAAATGCATGGATACAAAAATGCTTGTTTGTTGTAACTTAATGTTGGGTCAAATATGAACAAACCCAACATAAGTACAAATTTGTTCAATAAAATTTAAGTTACACTTTTTTCTTATACTTTTAAACCTGAATGTTGAGTTCATGATCCATAGTTGACCCAACATTGGTTTACAACAACAACCCAACGTTTATTAGAGAGTGTAAACGTTTAGAGAATGATCGATAGATAGATAGATAGATAGATAGATAGATAGATAGATAGATAGATAGATAGATAGATAGATAGATAGATAGATAGATAGATAGATAGATAGATAGATAGATAGATAGATAGAAATGGATGGAAAAAACTATCGAAAATGCTTGTTTGTTGTAAACAATGTTGGGTCAAATATGAACAAACCCAACATAAATACATTTTTTTTTAAAGTTAAATTTAAGTTACACTTTTTTATGTTGAGTTGATGATCCATATTTGTCCCAACATTGGGTTATAAAAAGCTATTATTGACCCAACATTGGTTTACAACAAATTGACCCAACATTGGTTTACAACAAATTGACCCAACATTGGGTTACAACAACCCAGGATTTTTAGAGTGTAAAGTTGTGAGAATGACAGACAGATAGAAACAAAGATACAGAGACAGATAAAATAATCGATACACTCTTAAAAATGTTCAACGTAAAACTAGTGTGTTTTAACCCAATTTGGATCAAATATGGACACACCAAAAGTTGGGTTAATTTTTTCAATAAAATTTAAATTCTACTTTTTAATTATAACCAATGATTGTTTGTCCACGTCTGACCCAATGTTGTGGTTATTACAACCCAGATTATTTGAGAGTGTAAGGAATTGACTGACAGAGAGACTGATTGATAGAAATAAATATATAGTTGGACTGACAGATATATGGTGGATACACTATAAAAACTATTACATTTAAAATTAAATTTAAATCAAACTTCTTTTTTTAACCCCTTTAAACCCAATGATTGAGTTGATTATACATATTTGACCCAACATTGGGTTACAACAAATTTTTGAAGTGTAAAATTCTGAGAATGACAGATAATAAAGATATTAGGGATAGAAACATTTAAAAGATGAATAAAAGAACTAATAGAAATGCTTGTTTGTTGTAACCGAATGTTGGGTCAAATATAAACAAACCCAACATTTTAGAATTTCTTTCAATTCAATTTAGAAAACTCTTTTTAACAGTCGGACTGGTCCATATGATTCAACATTGGGTAAAAACTACCCAACAGTTTTTGTAACTATATATATATATATATATATATATATATATATATATATATATATATATATATATATATATATATATATATATATATATATATATATATAATGCTGGCTTGTTTTAACCCAACATGCACAATTTTTACACTTTTTAACCAACAAAGGCTCCTTGTGAAAACGTACCCCCACATACATTTCCAGAGAACGGGAATTATGTAGCCAGAGCTACGTATGGTTGTCTTTCATCTTTAAAATGAACGATATGGGGCGCTAAAGCTTCTGTTTTCTTTTCTTGTCGTGCTACCCGCTGACCGTTTACCTCCATGTGGACGGCTTTTTACAGTTTGCACAGTGGCTCACCATATATTTTGGAGGCCTTCAGACACAGAGAGGAGTTGACTGCAATGACAGGGTTTAAGTTTGGCAAAGAATGGTTCCAGGAACTAGGTAAAACAAGAGCAAAAAAATAAAACAAGCAAGTACATAACAGGGTGAGAACATGGTAAGATCTGAAAACATGATAAAAATCAGGCGGCTGCAAGGGCTTTCCTTTTTCTGGATTGCTTTTGAAAACACTATCGGTTGGGTTTAGGGAAATTGGGAGGTGGGTCAATCGGTGCATTTGAAAACACTATCAGTTGGGTTTAGTGAAGCCTCCGAGTTTATTTCGCGATCTCCAGAAATGTGTATAGGGGTAAGTATCATTAATGAGCCTGGGTTATTTTTAAC